AACAGCCAAGATAAACACAAATAATAAAGGGCAGATAGGCGATGTTTATCTTTTCAGATTCCCCTTTCAGATACTCTGCCCAGGATTTCAAACACAAGCATCTGCCAGGAATTTCAAGCTCACTTCTGCAGCTGGGGATGCAAGGACAAGGCTTCCAGCACAGGTAAGCAAATGAGAAGTTGCTTGTGCATTAAAATGTGGCTGTCTGCACCCTCCTTCCTTCTCCTGAGAAATATATTTTATGTGCTCCATTGAAATTAAAATATGCCAAATTAACAACGACCACAATGAAATGTGACTGGTTTTTTCCCCCCATCAATATGAGTACTTTTCAAAGAAAAAATAGAGGTTTCTTGGCCAGTTGAAAACCACAGCTGGGAAGGACCATAACTCAATAGTACAGTGCATGTTTTGCATTTAGGAGACAACAGTTCCAGGTAAAATACCCAGTATTTGCATTTAAAGGATCAGATACATTGGAGAGTCACCATAAGTCAAGTGTATACAATATTAGGTTAGATTAATCATTGGTCTGATTTACAAAGTGGCTTCATGTGTTTATATCCCAAAGAGAATAACAAATACCTTACAGAATTCCCCCACATTGATTAAAAATAAAGTTACACATTTTAAAAATGTTTCTTCAATTTTCAGGTGTAATACATTTTGCAGCACCTGGAAAAACCAACATGGCAAAATTAGAAAGCCTCAGAGCTCTAGGTACAGAATGTAAATTAAACCTTACTCTTTGGGTTCTGTGCCTAGATCAGTGTTTAAACAAAGTAATTACCCCTCTCTTCCCCCAAAAAACAACTTTATCTAAAGTACAATCCTTCTGCTGTCTGTATGGGAATCATGTATAGTCCACAGCAATATCTTCTTGAATCTGAACTCACAGGGAGTTAAGTCTTTTGCATCATGTATTTTACATTGTAAATCTCTATACAGTACAGGTATTGTCTTCATTTAATGTGTACAATGCTTAGTAAATTCTAGGTACTATACAAATGATAAATAGCTTGCTAGAATTAAACATAAGCTACAAGGTTCAAGGCACACACTTGTGTGGCCATATGAGCAGAAGTCTTAGGACAGGTTTAATAGGAATCTAATGCCTTGCTATAATTCTTTTAAGTCAGTTATCATGATAAAGTATAATCCCCAAAATAATCTAAGAGCCACAGCAAATAATTGTGTTTTATCCCTGGGGAATAGTCACTTACAATACTTTTTTGCTTTTATAAATAGTGGGGTTCTAATTAGTCACTCCCACTAAGACTTGCTTATCAAATAGAACACCTTTGGGTTTCCCCAACCCTTAAACCTTACCTTGGCTGTTGCTTATGTTTAAGTCTTTCATGGAGACCAGCATGACATTTTTCTTGCCAACTGCAGCTTCAGCATCAGAGCAGCTGCCCAAAAATAGAGGATGCATCCAATGTTACTTTATCTGGCTACCTCATGAGAAAATGTGTTTTTCCTTGCAGGTGACTAACACTGAAGAGCTAGACATCTCAGTGGATTAGGAAGCACTGATGTGTAGCTTGTTCTTTACTTTCATTCTGCCAATGCTATGAACAAAAGCCACAGCATGTTTTGCTCAGTAAATGTTCTAATGACTTTAATCCTTCTGTCCATTTATGGAGTTTCAACTTAGGAAGCTTCATCCAAATCTGAAATCTATTGCTTTGGATTTAGAAATATTTTAATGTTGTGGGACATATTGTAATGTTTATGCAGGATGTGCTTTTATTGGTGTTAGTATCATTTCTTACCATCTCTCTTTTACTTAACCAAGCAGCCGGGCAGACTCTCATTGCTGTGTGTGATGTTTCTCTGCTGCTAGGAAGGTAGGCAGTAGATCATCAAACTCGCTTAATAAGAAATGTGATTTTACAGTACAGTCGTACCTCAGAAGTTGAACGGAATCCATTTGGAAGTCCGTTCGACTTCCAAAACGTTCAGAAACCAAGGCGCGGCTCCTGCAGCCAATCAGAAGTCGTGTCGGACGTTCAGGTTCCAAAGAACATTAGCAAGCCAGAACACTCACTTCCGGGTTTGTGGCGTTTGGAAACCAAAGCGTTCGACTTCCGAGGTACAACTGTGCTACCATATAATTAAACGTTGCTCCATTACTTTAGTGTCATAATAATCAACAGCTGAGGGCAATAGGGAGCAATGAAGCAAGCATTTTCTCTGTCTTCAAAGCACATGACTATAAAGTCATATCTAAATGAAATTATAGTGACTATTTGAGAAGCATTGCCTTGTTGGTGGCTGCCCTGGGCAACTACACTAGTTGCCATCACCCCAGACCAGATCACTTTATCCCTCCGTATCCTATTGTCAGGGAACTGCCATCGGACGGAAGGGAGGTGAAAGGGCTCACACAGGTTGGGAGAGACGCAGCAGCTGAAGAGGGAACCAGCAGGGAGGTGAAAGGGCTCACACAGGTTGGGAGAGACGCAGCAGCTGAAGAGGGAACCAGCAGGGGGAGAGGAGCTGAGCTGGAGGGATGGCTCAGAGACACTTCCAGCGAAAACAGTGGGGAGGTTTCAGGACCTCCTGTAAGAACACCCACTCCTCGCCGGAAACTGTCACGCAGAGAGTCCAGAAGACGTGTTTCCGTTAAGGAGCTTTTATGTTGGAAGCGATTACGAAAGCAACCACTGTCGGAATCTGCTAGTGACTAGAGGAGCCATGTCTGAGGGGCTCCACACAGACAGAGGTTTGTGGACTTGAACAAACTCTGAGGGGATACGATTTTACGCACAAGCAGCTCATCATCTCATCACAGCATTCCGACAGTCTTTGAAAGCAGCTTGTGCAGGAGAAGGCATCATGAGCAACCCAGCCGGAACCGGAGAAGCAGGAGCTGGAGTGGGTCCAAGCCTGGAAGAAAGGTACCGGGTGTTGGAGGTCCAGCTAGCGATGCAGACGGCGAGGCTTGAGGAGAGGAGGGCTCAGGATGCAGACAAAAAGGGGAAAGCCACCCAGCTCGCCAGAAAGGTACCAGGATTGGTGCAGAAGTTTGGGGGGGAGCCCAAAACTATCATGGCTTTCGGACAGAAATGCAATATGCCCTCAATCTGCAGTTTGATGAATTCCTGACGAGGAATCACGAGTGGCTTTCGTGATTGAGCATCTTGAAAAGGGGGCGAGAGACTGGGTTAGACCCCTGATGGCAGCGAATAGTGACGTCCTAAAGGACACGATGAAGTTCTTTCGCGCCATGGATCTGATGTTTTCCAGCGATATTGAAAAGGGAGTGGTGCGCAGACAGTTAATGGCTTGCAAACAGGGGAGCCGATCTGTCCGTGAGTACTGGACTGAGTTCACCATGCTTGTTCACAGATTGGGGTGGGACTTATCGGCGGAACCCATTCAAATGCTCTTTGAAGAAGGGCTTTCTTCGGCTGTGAAAGACGAACTTTCCCGGGCGCCCAGGGTGGAGTCTATGGACCAGCTGACCAAATCAGCGCTGGCCATAGGAGCGCGCCAGGAGGCGAGAGCATTGGAGAGGCGGGAAGGGAAAGGGGAACGTTGGAAGGAGTTCCGCATTCCAGACATTCCAGAGCCAACTTTCCCACCGGCAGAGCCGATGGAAATCGGAACAGCGCGCGCGCGCGCAGTTTCAAAGCCCAGTGAGGGGGGGGAAAAAGGAGGGAAAAGGCGCCCGGAAATGCTATCTCTGCCAACAGCCAGGTCACTTTGCCAGAGTCTGCCCCCAGAGGAAAGAATGGCAAGGGATGGTAGGAGCTGTGGATGGAAGAGAGGAAGATATACCGGAGCAAGTAAAGCCAACGCCTGGCTGCCACTGTCGGGGCACAGCAGCCAGGCCAAAGAGCAGTGAGAGTGCCCACGCCAGAACCTCCTAAACCCGCCCTAGTGATAGAAGTGACGCTAGAGCTGCCAAACGGACACCCTCTAAAGATAAAGGCGCTGTTGGACTCAGGCAGCTCCTGCAATTTCATGAGCAAAGAGTTTGCAGCTGAACACCAGATACAGACGATCCCTTAAGCAGCCCCCTGCAGGTGACCACGATCGATGGCAGGGAGCTGTTGGGAGGAGAAGTCAGCTTGCAGACCGTCCCAATGATAATGAAGGTAGCAAGGCACACCGAACTGATAGCTTTTAATGTGGCCACCTTGGGAGGAGCTCCCATTATATTGGGGATGAGCTGGCTAGCGTTACATGATCCGCTGGTGGGCTGGCATCAGAGAGTGGTTTCTTTTGGTTCAGCACATTGCTTAGAACACTGCAAAGAGGGAAAGGGTTTGGCAGGGGTCCAAGCCACCCTAGCAGGGACTGAAGTAACAGAGAACGTGAAGGTACCACGACAATATGCAGATCTCCGTGACGTCTTCAGCGAAAGGGAAGCTGACCAACTACCCCCGCATAGACCCTTTGACTGTCAAATCAATTTACTCCCTGGAGCACAGCTCCCTGTAGGCAAGCTGTACGCCATGTCAGACAGAGAGATGCAGGAGTTAAGAGAGTTCATTGACAAGAACCTGAAGAGAGGGTTCATCAGAGAGTCCAGGGCGGTGGGGGCAGCCCAGTGTTTTTTGTGGATAAGAAAAACACGAACAAGCCGAGGCTGGTGTGTGACTTCAGGGCCTTAAATGCAGTGTCAGAACCAGTAGCCTTCCCTATGCCCAGGATTGACGACATTTTGACAAGGGTGCGGAAGGGAAAGATTTTCACAAAGCTGGACCTAAGGGGGGCGTACAACCTGGTACGAATAAGGAAGGGGGATGAATGGAAAACCACTATGTTCACCCCTTTAGGGGCATTTGAATATTTGGTTATGCCCTTCGGCCTACAAGCAGGCTCCGCAACATTTCAATCGTTTATGAACCACGTCCTGGGGCCTTTGCTTTACAAGAATTGTGTGGCCAGACGACGTGTTGGTGTATTCTGAGAATGAGGAGCAGCATGTGAGAGACGTCAGAGAAGTGTTGAGCAGGCTGCAAGCCAACCAGCTGTGGGTGAAACTGGAGAAGTGTCAGTTTCATACCAAGGAGGTGGAATTCCTGGGGTATCGCCTGTCTGACAAGGGATTGGCCATGGATCCCGGCAAGGTCCAGGCGGTGCTGGAATGGAAAACACCCAAAACAAAGAAGGATGTGCAGAGGTTCCTAGGATTTGGGAACTTCTATCGTAAGTTCATCCGAAACTTTGCCCACCTGACGGCGCCCATTACGGACTGTCTCAGCAGTAAGAAGAAGTTCGTGTGGACTGAGGAGGCGGAGCGAGCATTTGAGGAACTAAAAAGGGCCTTCGCCTCGGAACAACAACTCCTGCATGTGGATTTACAAAAACCGATGAGAGTGGAAACTGACGCATCAGACAGAGCGATTGGGGCGGTGCTTCTGCAGCCAGGGAAGAAGGGGTCAGAGTGGAGACCGTGTGCCTTTTTTCGCGAAAGCTGAACAAATCCGAGAGGAACTACACGGTGTATGACCGAGAACTACTAGCCATTCATGAGGCGTTCCGGAGATGGAGGCACCTGCTAATTGGCGCACAACATAAGGTGCAAGTGTGCACTGACCACAAGAACTTAGAGTATTGGAGGACGGCACGAGTGCTCAACCAACGGCAAGTGAGATGGGCCCAGGAGTTCTCCAAATTTAACTTTGAGATTAATTACGTGCCAGGCCCAGAGAACATTAGGGCGGACGCTCTCTCACGCAAACCAGAATATTTGGAGGGGAGGGGGCACCCGAAGAGAGACATGTCATTCCAGAGGACCGCTGGGTGTGTGGGGCGGCATTGGTGGGACAAAGAGAACTGGTAGAGGAAACAGAGAATGATGAATACGCCCAGAATAAGCTCAGAGGTCTTAGGGGTGAGGGAGAGGAACCAGGGGGTTTCGAGGAAAGAAATGGAGCTTTGTATTACAAAGGGGCACTGTATATCCCTGAAGGAGAGTTAAGGGGAGGGTACTCAAGCAGTTGCACGACAGCCCTACGGCGGGGCATTTTGGACAACACAAAACCATGTGGTTGGTCACCAGGGAATTTTGGTGGCCTAAGGTGAGGGAAGATGTACGTGAGTATGTAAGAGGGTGCGAGCAATGCCAGCGAGCCAAAGGGGAAAGGCGGGCGCCGGCGGGGCTATTAGAACCCTTACCAACCCCAGAACGACCTTGGGAGGCAGTGTCGATAGATTTTATGACTGATCTGCCGAAGTCCAAAGGGAAAACAGCCATCATGGTGGTGGTAGACCTACTAACAAAGATGTGCCACTTTGTAGCTTGCTCGCATGCAGTCACGGCGGAAGAGACAGCGAAGTTATTTGTAGAACACATTTTTAGGTTGCACGGGGTGCCATTGAGGGTGGTCTCAGACCGAGGAAAACAATTTACTTCCAGGTTCTGGAGGAAGCTCATGAGCTTACTGCAGGTGGAGGTCAATTTTTCGACTGCCCGGCACCCTGAAACCAACGGGCAGGCGGAAAGAGCAAACGGTGTCCTCCAGCAATACCTGAGGTGTTATGTCAATGACAGAGAGAATGACTGGGTAGAAAAGTTGGCGCTGGCGGAATTTGCCTACAACAATGCCGAGAATGTGTCCACAGGGATGAGCCCCTTCTTGGCTAATTATGGGTGTCATCCCAGGGCTTTCCCAGGGGGAGATGGGGAGAGATGGAGCGTCCCGGCAGCCGAGCATTTTGTGGAAGAAATGGAAGCAATCCATCGTCAGCTCCAACTCAACTTAGAAAGGGCGAAGGAAGAATACAAGAGGCAGGCAGACAAGAACCGAAGGGAAGGTGAAACCATAAGGGTGGGAGATAGGGTGTGGCTGTCAACCCAAGGGCTGCCGCTCAAAGGAGGTTGTAAGAAATTAAGACCCAGGAGGTTGGGTCCCTTTGAGGTCATTCAACAGGTCAACCCAGTGGCTTTCAGGCTCCGGTTACCCAACCACATGAAACTGCACCCAGTATTTCACAGGTCGTTACTGTCACCGTACGAAGGGGGACGAGAAGGGCTGGCCACTCGGGACCGGTCATAGAAGAAAGAGAATGCAGCAGCCATGTGGCAGAAATCCTCGACGCCAGGTGGAAGGGGGATCAGGTGGAGTATTTGGTAGCGTGGGAAGGAGAACCGGAGTCAGAAAACACTTGGGTAATGGCCGAAGATATCAATGACGAGGTATTGATAGAAACGTTCCATCAAAGGTTCCCAAGGAAACCTCAGCCTGTGGAGAGGTTCCGGAGGGAATACTTTGGGACCACTGATGAGGGGGAGGAGTTGGAAGGATTCCCGGACTCGGAAGGGGAAGGGGAGATGGACTCTGAGGAGGAGGTGTACTTCGAGACCAGGAACCGCAACAGGTTGAGAGAAGTGTTCGAGACATCGGAAGATGAAGGAAGTTCATTCCGGGTTTTGCCTCCTCACCGCCCGTAGAGGAGGGGGCGAGAGGGGGTGAAGGGGGCCCTGGAGGGGGAGGTGGATGTCAGGGAACTGCCATCGGACGGAAGGGAGGTGAAAGGGCTCACACAGGTTGGGAGAGACGCAGCAGCTGAAGAGGGAACCAGCAGGGAGGTGAAAGGGCTCACACAGGTTGGGAGAGACGCAGCAGCTGAAGAGGGAACCAGCAGGGAGGTGAAAGGGCTCACACAGGTTGGGAGAGACGCAGCAGCTGAAGAGGGAACCAGCAGGGGGAGAGGAGCTGAGCTGGAGGGATGGCTCAGAGACACTTCCAGCGAAAACAGTGGGGAGGTTTCAGGACCTCCTGTAAGAACACCCACTCCTCGCCGGAAACTGTCACGCAGAGAGTCCAGAAGACGTGTTTCCGTTAAGGAGCTTTTATGTTGGAAGCGATTACGAAAGCAACCACTGTCGGAATCTGCTAGTGACTAGAGGAGCCATGTCTGAGGGGCTCCGTCACAGACAGAGGTTTGTGGACTTGAACAAACTCTGAGGGGATACGATTTTACGCACAAGCAGCTCATCATCTCATCACACCTATGAATGTACCTAAACATTTGGATCAGCCATAAACTCCATACGGTCGTCCTAGGCAAGCTGCTGTGGGTTACATCAAAGTTAGTAGCATAGGAGTGATACCTGCATACCCTTACGACAGTGTTGTAATTATTGCTGAGATTATGCTTTGAAAACCACTGCATAAATAATAAGGCTGCAGTTCTAAATTCCTTCACTAAAGAGTCAGTCTGATCGAACCTAGTGACACTTGTGTAAATGTGTGATGATAGGGTTGTTTAATCTGATGTGTAACTTTACTCTTGCTGTGCCACTCTGAACTGTTCCTGTGTTTTGGATTGTTTCTGATTCTTATTCTTTGCCGTCCCTCTCTGCAGCCACACATTCCTAAGGGTTAAGCAGGGCCCCAGACATGCAGTACTTTGGCTGTAGCTGTTCCACTGTTGACCATGTCCCTTTTCATGCATTAAAACCCAAAGCTGTATTACAGCTCACATAAAGGTTTTGACCAACCTGATTTAGTCAACAAGGATCACAGCCACTCTGAAAGTTAGTAGCTGAAAAACAAAATTAGCTGCAGCTTGACAGCAACTAGTAAGAAGAAAAAACTCTAAAACATATTTTTTTACCTGTAAGATACAATCGGATGTTGAGGTTTTTGTTTATCTACAAAGAGAAAAATCCATTAATAATACGCACTAAAAGATGTGTACAAATAATATACTGCCTTTAATTTAGTCCTCATTTATCATTAAAATAAAAGCATATCTTGGAAGAGGCAGAAGGAATGTCCAGAGGACCCAGCTAGATGTGTTAACATGCTTATTTTTGCAATTAATGTGCACGTTTAAAAAAATGCAAATAGTCACTGGTGTGTGCATCAATGATAAGGATCACAGTGGGCAGGAAAGGAGGAGTGTTTAACCTTTTCCTCCCCTGCAGCAGTCATGATGAAAACTGCTCCTCCAAAGCTGCTATTTGCTCCTGTTGGTGCTAGCTGGAATTGTAAAGTTCCAGAGGACAAGGTTAAGTTAAAATATGACACATGGAATAACGGATGAGAAGGAATTATATCAGTAAAACAAGTAGGTGGTCAAGCTGAAAGATGAGCATATAGATTATAAGTGATTAGAAGTTGAACTGGGTTTAAAATCAGAAATGAGAAGAAGTTCTATCAGAAGAATAAGAAGAAAGTGGATAGAATACAATTTAATCAAGAAGAAATGTTCACACATTTGGGGTATGGGAAAGAGAGCACATTAAAAAACAAATATACTTAGTGAGGACATAATAAGGTAGGACCAAACATGAACTTGAATCAATTGTGGAGCAAGCTTACACCTTAGCTTTTCACGACATGAATGCAGACCCAGTGCAGTGTAGCCGTTAGAGTGTTGGACCAGGGCCCGGGAGACCTGGGTTCAAATCCCCATTCAGCCATGAAGCTCATTGGGCTAGTCACAGTCTCTCAGCCTAACCTGCCTCAAAGGGGTGTTGTGAGGCACAATGTAAGTCATCTTGAGCTCCTTGGCAGTAAGGTGGGACATAAATAAAGTATATAAGCTGAAGGAAATCGAGTGAAGGCAGTGAATAAGGAAGAGTGTTCAAGTGGCATCATCAAGAACCTGAGAAGTGAAGAAGGTTAAAAGTGAAGAAAGGAAGGAAAAAACCCAGGAAGCTTGAGACTATAAATTACAACCGGCCTGCAAACTGGAAAGTGGGGAATTATGGAATTATCTTGAGCAAAATGTTTGTAAGAAGAAGGGTTGGACAAGAAGCATTTTACCCAAGAAAGAACACAGAACAAGAGCTAAGCAGAGAATCAAAGTCAAGAAATGTGGATAGTGAACCAAGTCCATGGCAGACAATTGCAAGGTGAATATTAAGTGGATAAAATGGAGACTTGGATACAAGATAATCACTTCAGGGCTATTAAAACAATGACGCACACTGTTTAATACCTTCCACATTTTTGCAGTGATGACACCTGAATCTTAGGCTGACCACACAGACCAGGATAATTACAATCACCACCAGAATGGCAATGAAGCTGATAACACCTGGATAACGAGGAAAACAAGACCCATAATGGCAGCCATTGGTAGTTTTCCATTCAACATCTGTTAGAATCAGTGACAACAAATAGGGTTGACAGTGCTGCCAATCACTACTTAAAACCCAAACTTGCCAAAGTAGTTAAAAATGGGCAGGAGCACAATCAAGGACAGCCAACAAGAGCATCTCAATACAACAATTGATGTGATTGTCTAGTGTCTAGGAGGGTATAAATTTCTGTAAATCCAGGTGGGAGCAGAGACAAGTGCATTAAGTCGTAATGTTTCAAAAATGTAGAGTCTACATATTTTTTAATCTGTATCTGAACATCAAATGGAGTTATTGAATAACCAGAAATTCTCTTAAGCCTATTAACAAATGCCCCAGAAGAAATTTCACTGGCAGCCCTGTAACAGCTGGAATGTACCAGTGCACTGCAGTGACAAATTCTTTACTACTGCCAAGTGCCAGCATTGTGGCAATAGGCCGGTGCATGTTCTTTCAGGAAGAGCTATCAGTACTGGACAGCACAGCAGCATTGTGCAAAGTGGTGACGTGGCAGAGATTTGGATGGCCTTGTGTGTTCATGAGTGATTGCTCTGTCAGCCCTGTCCTCCAATTTCCATACATTCAATGTGACATTTATAAAGGACAGCCTATTCACACATGCTCTCTGCAATCTGAAAACCCAGTACTTTCCTAGCTGAGTGAGCAGCCTGCATATGCACACTTGTTTGCAAATAGGCTCTCTTGAAAATGTGCACATCAGGGATGGGGCCACCAGGGTTCACCACATCAGGCTCTCTCTCCATGTTTTAAGTGTATATGTGGAATGGAATAACTGAAAAGACTTGATGTAACTTTGAGACAGTGTACCCAGAGAATAGTTTGTGGGGCACCTAATGTATAAGGTGTCTGCAGCTAAGCAGATCTCAGTCCGGCCATTACTTCAATGCAACCACACCTCACCCACACTGCTTTTGAGGTCCTTTCAGAACGGGTAGAACAAAAAAGTGGTAGTCAATCATTTGTGCTCAACTCCTCTATTTGTGTTCTGTCCTTCCTCCAGATAACTTATAATTTTATTCTAGGTATGCTTATGTTCTTTACTCCCAGGTAAGTGTTTATAGGAGCTCATACATTCTTGGGACACTTTGCAGGAAGTTAAATTAGGCAATACAGGCACTGTAAGTACATATGAGAATGAATTTGACAAAATTAAAATTAACAAATACTATGTGTTCTATGCAAAACAGTTCTAAGCAAAGCATTTTGTCTCCTTGTGAAAGGGAGCATTCTCCCCAGTGCCCCCTATATCTGTTCAGGGGGTTCCCCCATCCCTCTGGACAGTAGCATTGCATCCTTTATTAGGGCCCGGTGTGTGCGTGCGCACCAGGCAGGACCAGGGGCTAGGTGCTCCACCGCCAAGCAGGTGCGGGGATGCATTGCGCTGCTTGCCCACCCGTGCGGGGGGAGCCCTTGGTGAGGGGGCCAGGGGCGCAGTGGCAAGACTGGGCTCTGGAAGCCAGAGACCTCCGGCAGCAGGCAGGGCAGGAATCCCTGTGGGGGGGCCCTGACTCACACCCCCTGAAAACCATGTGCCCTGAGCTATGACCCCCCCCCCCGGCCCTCCTCACTACACCCCTGGCTCTGGAGACATTTTTGGGACAGTGCAGGGCATGTGTGGGGCAAGAAGGATGTCCTGTTGTGCTACTGCAATTTTGTAGTTGAATGCCGCTTCGTGAATCCTGACTTCTTTTTTGCTAAGCTCTACAAACTACTACTGATAAGGTTTTCTTTGGGGGCAAGAGTGTGGAGGTATAATCAGAATACTGATTTCCGTAAGATATAAATATTTTTAAAATACTTGGAAAAATATTTAATGCTGGCACCCTTTAAACCCATCTGTCTTATTACTTTCTGTCCAAAATTGTGACACCTCATCTTAATGTCTTTACTCACCAGTTGCTGCCACTGTTAGTGCTGCTGATTTTTCTTCTGTAGGGGAAGGGATCGTGAGAAAATCTGTATTTACATACAGGAGACCTTTCGTGGGAGAGGTGGCCCCGTTATATATACCTGTGGAAACTAAGAAATAGAAAGGTATAGAGACATTGAGAGGCGTATTCAAATGAAGAGGCAATGGATTGGGGTAAGACCCTGCATCTACTACTACCTTTGTTACTGACGTTTTTTTCCTGACTCAAAACAGCATTGCATTCCCAAGTTTGTTTTTTAAAAAAAGATTAGACAATGATAGATTTCTTGAAAATTTATAGATTAACTGCCTTTTTGATTGGATAGCATGTTTTGTGGTTTATACTGTAATGGCCATTGGCTATAAACAATGAAATGGGATGAATGGACTCCAGTGCTGCAGGCTGCTGGCTGGAGAGGGAGGACCAACTGGCCTCAGCACAGCATGGCTTCTCCTCACTAGCTTCCTTGCTGTCCAGCATCAGCATCCTTTGCCTCAGCTGCCTAACAAGCATGGCTACCCCTAGTATATGGAGGACAAAGGAGGCAGATGAAGCTGGTGGATTATATGGAATTGGCGGAAATGACTGGCAGAATCCGAGACCAGGGAGAAGAGTCGGTGGAAGAAGATTGGAAAAAATTTAAAGTATATTTACAGAAATATTGTAAAATTAATGAATGTTAGAAGGATGCTGGAAAGAAGCTATATGACTTTAGCAGAAATATTGTAAAGAATTAAGTATGAATAGATTGACATTGGGTAAAGGTGTAAATTTAAGGCTAAATTGCGTTAAGATAAATTATGGAACTAAATTTGAGAAAGAGGGAAAGGACTTGCTGGAATAATTGATTGAACTAGAATACAAAAAAGGAGGTGTGAGGAAGTCGAGGAAATAAGCAAATGAAAGATAAGGATATGAAAATACGGGGTCTTTTTTGTTTGTTCTTTTTTCCCTTTTTCTTTCCTTTTTTTCTTCTATTTTTAAAAGGTTTGGGTTTTTTAAATGCTTTTGTTTTTCTTTTTTTCTTTTTTGTATTGTTGATGTTTTGTATTATTGTATTTATTTTTGTTTTTGAGGTTTTGTAATTCTTTATTGCTTGTATTTCTCTTTTCCTCTTTCTTTTCTTTGTAATGCTTAAACTTTAATAAATATCTTACTAAAAAATAAATAAATATGGAGGACAAAGGAGACCCAGGGCACAGTCAGTGTGCTCACGCCAACTTCTTTCCTGTCTCAATACCCTTACATGTGTTCTGCATAAATATGCACAGTAAAATATCCAAAAACCAGTCAGGGTCAGGGAAAAACCGCTCTCTTCTCTGAGAAAGGAAATGGCAATGCAGAACAAGAACAAGAACAAGACAAGGCATAAAATCCACTGACCATCAAAAATACCTTTTTTGGCCACTATGAATTTAGCTGTATGGAACAAAGGGACTGCATCTGACCTAGCAAAAATAGGTTTAAATTCCCTTTCTCACCTAAATCAAGCAACAATCAGTTTTGTAATATAAGAACATTCATTACCACAGGATGCTGAGAGCTACTTGTTTATAATGCATAATAGTAGCATGTTGAAATGAGAAGTGATGGTCTGGCATTTTCCTACCAAAGGATCTGCCCACTGTAAGTAATCCTGAGTACAGGTGTTAGAGATGAAAGGGAGGATAAAGAGCCATCACGGATATTTTGCCCTTGCCCTCCATCAGGATCACACAAAGGGTTCCCTCATCGCTTTACTGGAACTCATTGAAAAGGTAAAGCCTTTTAATAGCAGGGTAATTGTAGAGGGCCTACCTGCTGAGGATGGCTGGATGACGCTTCCATTTTTCTTGGGCGCAGACTCTACAGGCAAATCGGAAAATAAGAGAGCAGTTAGGATATATATCTTTTGTGGGGACATGTTGGTTTTGCTACATTATCTGACATCCAAAACAAAGGCTATATGGCCAATTTTACCTCCAAGTGACCCATTTGTTGCTAATGCCTATTTTCCCGCCCCCCCCCCACACGTTAGCTAAATATCTTAAATATCTGAATTCAGTTCAGTAAAATCTGTCCTAATGTCTTGCTCCTCAACAGAAAGCTCAGCATCTTAATTCACATGTACTGATCTCCTTCAAGTCTACATACTGACATTAGATGGCCAAAACAGGCCCTCAAAGTTCCCTCTATACTTATCAGAGCATGTTAATAATAATCCAGGGTTAGGGATTAGGTTCTGGTCCCTGCAGCACCCATGGGGGCAGGGGGGGGGGCACACAGGAGCCGCCTTGCGCAAGTGGAAGCCTTTCTGCAGGGCTTCCGCTGATGGGTCTCATTTGTTGAATCCTGCCCATTGCATCTGCTCTCTGACAGTGTAGGCCCTCCACAAGGACTTTCTGCTTATGCAATGAGGCTTTTCCCTGCCTCCTCTTCTCTGTGCCCCTGCGCTCAGACTGGCTCTGGGGGCTTGGGAGAACCCCCAGAACAGCGCATGTGGGCAGGAGAGCAGGGATCTTTAAATCTGGCAAACCACACTCCTTGCATAGCTGGAACAACTGGAAGAGAATGACATGGAATTCCCTCTGTATTTTAGTCATCAGCACATCCTCGCTTTATCCATCAGTGTATCCTGCGTACACTCAGTATAATTTAACCCCCCAAAAATGATGAAGAATTATGTTGTTTTCCACATCATATATTCATTCAGCTTTTGTTTTAATTAGCAGTTCCATCAGCTTTTCTTCAACAAAACAGGCACCATTGTCCTTTTGGTGAAACAGCCACACCTTTGTTACAGAAATTGTGTATTAAAGGCCCTAGTCAATCTGTAATCCTTAAACTCTGAAATATATGTATTGCACAACAGGAATGCAGTTTTTTAGAGCCAGATTTGTTAAAAGATCTGCACCTCTTTCAGCCAAAGGAACTAGATTTGCATGAATACTGAGTGAGAACTGCTTTACTTTGCTCCTTGATGAATTGATAAATCTGTGTTATATTGAATTAGAACATAGATTCATCTTACTCAGCATTGTGTACACTGACTGAAAGCAGCTCCCCAGAGTTTCAGGCAGAGAGAAATCTTTTGCGGCCCTGCAGCCTGAGATTTTAACTGTAGATGCCAAGGACTGAAATTTTTCCATTCAAAACACAAACTCACCATTGCCCTCCATTTGAACAGGATTAAGGTGGCAATCATAAGCCCCATTGGAACTTTCCCATCAGACTTGCATAGAACTGGGCAATAAAGTATCTTACCTTGAAGAAGAACAGAGTCACATAACCAGAAAAACATCAAAAAATGTAAAGCTATCATTATGTCTTCCACTCCTCAGAAACTTGCAGCTCTGTCCATTCTGCAGTCTGGGAGAACAAAAAACAACCAGGAGAGAAGTTTGTCTGCATGTGCTGATTGTCCAAGAGCTTCCTGTTAAAGAATAGAAGGAAGCAGACTGAGTCAACAAGGGGATTGACGCTGTGGAATACTTCTCTTGCCCATTATAGTTCCAAAGGAAATGAAACAGAATTTACCGGCCACAAAAGAAATTTCAATATTGTTGTTGTGAGGAGTCTCTACGCTTACGAGAAATTTGTGGGGAATGAAAATGAATGAAAATAAGTACACAGGAATATTTAACCTTACTTCTGGTCTCTGTTTTGAAAGAAGGACTTTCGGCCTGTGTGCAGAGTTTAGCAGTCTGGTGCTTTTGAAATATACTCATTCTGTTCAAAGGGTTTGCTGTCTCTTCCTGTCCAGTCCTCAAAACTCTCCATTTGAGGCAAATGAACTATGAACCCCATAATTTGGAATCTCCTCCAAACCTGTGACAAAGTTTTGCAGTTCTTTTGCAGCAAAACCCCTGCATTTTGCAGCACCCCACCAGTGGAGCAATTACTATATTCAAACCGGGGGTCATTGCTATTACTCTAGAACCCAACATTGTGTGATTCAGGATGGAGAGATAAGACTTCCAAGAAACTTCAAGATTCACTTCGCCCCAAGTCACAATGGGAGACGACATCTGCTGGGAAGTGAAAGAAACAACACCATTTATGGTCGGAAGGAATCTCCATGGGCATAACAGTATTCATGAGCAGGACAGAACAAATATAGTACAGTCATACCACATGTTACGGACGCTTCAGTTTACGTGTTTTCGGGTTGCGGACCGCGGGAAACCCGGAAGTACCAGAACAGGTTACTTCTGGGTTTCGCCTCTCGCGCATATGCAGAAGCGCCAAATCGCGCCTGCGCAGACACGCCACTTCAGGATGCGAACGCTGCGGGTTGCGGACATCCCTCCACGGATTACGTCCGCAACCCGAGGTTCCACTGTGGTTTGAGTTCCTCACTTGAAGTTTTATAAATTTATATAACAACACGAATGGAAATCATTAATTATGCAGCCATTGATTAAGGGATTGTTATTATAACTGAAATTAATAAGATTATGGAATGCAGTGATATAAGATCGGAAATGCATCCAATCCACCATGCAGGGAGCCACTTTAATTAAAATGTATTAATTGGAAGTTGATTGGTATTTGAATAATTGTATTAATTGGGAATGAATTGATAGTGTTATAATTTGGCTATTATTGGGGGAATATTGAAAAACTAATAAAAACTTGTTTTTTTTAAAAAAAAAACATTGTGTGATTCACTCTAAAGCAGTGCCAAAGTGTGGCAACAGTTTTGCAGCAAAACCCCTGCATTTTGCAGCACCCCACAAATTGAGTGATTCCTCAGTAATGGCAGAAGCATAATGTGTGCTGAGTGAATGAAAACAGAACAGTCTGGGGAATGTGTGAGCTTTATGTGCACAGATTTCATCTTTTAAAGCTTGTAAGATTAAAACACAATTTATAAATTGTAATGTGTTGTAAAATTGAGTCTTTGGGAAGATAGCAATGCAGTAGTTTTGTGCTTTCATTAACAGAGTTCCCTCCCTAATTCTCCCCTCTCCCGTATTACAAATTTGGGGTTGTAAGAATATGCTCCTATTGAATGATGGCTAAGGCTGGTGATCCTTTGTCAAATTGTCTGAGAGATAAATAGCTTAATGGCATCCATTCAGGAGTTACTCAAATTTTAAAGGCTGCAATACTGAAATATTGTAAACTTTACAGAGGTAAGTATTGGGGTGGGAGAGCTGAAAATAATGCCAACATATTTCACATCCGGCAACCAATGTGCCACTTTGGTTTCAGTACGTGGGTAGACAAGTTTATGAAGCCCAGGACACAAATTTTCACGGCCCTAGCAGCTTTGGTGGCTCATTCACCAGTATTTAGCATTAACTCTGGAAGTGTATACTCGATTCTGGCCAAACTAAGCCTCCTAAAGCAAAATATACATCAGGATTAACCCCCCCACACACACACAAAAAGCCCATAGAATCATAGAATTGAAGACTTGGGAGGGATGCCCAAAGGACATCCAGTCCACCCCACTGCAAATATGACCATAAAACCTTCATCCTCCAATTTCAATCTAACAGCATCAAACATGAAAGAAAAGAAAATGCTCAGAGTGTACTTCATGTTTCAGAGAAACACCCCTCGCACTGTATATAGGTCTCATGATTCACACTGTCACTCAAGAAAAAATATATAGATAAATTGTCTCATCTGGGTCTGAGTGTTACATATAATCATGTGCAAGAAGTATCAGCCACAGTAACAAATGTATTGTGTGAACAATACATGGAAAATTGTACTCTAGGCGGCTTCCAGCACATGCAGTATAAAAACATAATCAAACATCAAAAACTTCCTGGCCAGGGCTGCACCAACACTTTGAATTGGTCTCAGAAACATACTGTGAGCCAATGTAGATCCTTTAGGACAGGTGCTATGTGGTGCTAGTGGCTGCTCTCAGTCACCAGTCTAGCTGCCGCATTCTGGATTTAGTTGTAGTTTCGGAGTCACCTTCAAAGGTAGCCTCACATAGAGTGCATTGCAAAAGTCCAAGCAGGAGATAACCAGGGCATGTACCACTCTGGCGAGACAGTGCGCAGGGAGTGAGGATCTCAGCCAGTGTACCAGATGGAGCTGGTAGACGGCTGCCCTGGACACAGAATTAACCTGTGCTTCCTTGGACAGCTGTAAATCCAAAATGTCTCCCAAGCTGTGCACCTGGTCCTTCAGGCACACAGTTATTCCATTCAGGACCAGGGAGTCCCCCACACCTGCCTGGGGATGAAGGTTTTATGGCCATATTTGCAGGGGGTGCACTAGATGACCTTTGGGGTCCCCTCCCAAGTCTTCAATTCTATGATTCTATGGGGTTTTTTGGGGGGGACTAATCCTGATGTATATTTTGCTTTAAAGGTAAAGGTAAAGGTACCCCTGCCCGTACGGGCCAGTATTGTCCGACTCTGGGGTTGCGTGCTCATCTTGCTTAAGAGGCCGGGAGCCAGTGCTGTCCGCAGACACTTCCGGGTCACGTGGCCAGCGTGACGAAGCTGCTCTGGCGAGCCAGCACCGGCGCAGCGCACGGAAACGCCATTACCTTCCCGCTATAAAGCGGTACCTATTTATCTACTTGCACTTAGGGGTGCTTTCGAACTGCTACGTGGGCAGGAGCTGGGACCGAACAACAGGAGCTCACCCCGCCGCGGGGATTCAAACCGCCAACCATACGATCGGCAAGCCCTAGGCACTGAGGTTTTACCCACAGCGCCGCCCGCGTCCCACATATTTTGCTTTAGGAGGCTAAAATTGGTCAGTATCGAGTGTACACTTCCAGAATTAAATGGCTCATTCTGGTAAATGAGCCACCATAACCGCTAGAAGGCTGGGCAAATTTGTGTCATGCGCTTTTTAGACTTGTCTACCCATGTGCTATCTGTGATCCCCCCCCCCCCCAGCTCTCCCACCCCACTAAAGAGGAATTCAGTGTAGTTCCTGAATACCTTCAGGAATTTTTTGCTGACTGTGGAACCAGAAATCAAGAAAGCTGCTCATGGAAGGTCACCTGTAGGATTTGAATTATAAAATAAAATGGAGAGGGGAGCCATTACCAAGAATTTGAATTTACCAGACATATTTGAAAGTATTAATTTGCAAGTTCTCTTTCCCAAAGGGACTAACATGAAGGGCCCTTTGGGGCATCTTCAACATATGTGTGCTTTAAACTTATCATACAATAAAAAATGGAGCTTTTTTTTACCAAGAATGTGTTTGTACACCAGTCTGCATTTCAGTCAGGCACCAGTTTGGAGTGAATCGGATAACACTGGGTTTGTAGCAATTGCTCAGTTTGTGGAGTGCTGCAAAACGTGGGGTTTTCACTGCAAAAAGCTACAAAACAACGACAAAAGTTTGACATCAGTTTGGAGGGGGTTCCAAATTTTGGGTTTTGTAGTTAATGCTAAGTATGAACCCCATGTTTGATGTATAAATTATCAAGTTTGTGGGGCGCTGCAGAATGCAGGCTTTTCACTGCATAACACTGCAAAAAAAGGCAAAACTTTGGCACAGGATTGCTGTTCTCTGTCTCTTTCTGAAGACTTCATGGACACAGTGAGTCAGAAACAGGCTACACAACAAAATGCTTCCTTCTCCGTCCGACATGTGCAATCTATTTTCCAGGGACAATCTGGAATTTACAGAAGCCATACTGGTTTCTGATTTGATACGGCAATGTCCTGCTCTTCCCAGAACATCCCTATTTTCATCAGAGAAATGTTGGAGGGTGTGGAGTTATCTGACCCCTGAGTCATCTGAAGGCAGCCCTGTATAGGGAAGCTTTTTATGTTTAATGTTTTTATATATGTTGGAAGCCGCGCAGAGTGGCTGGGGCAACCCAGTCAGATGGGTGGGGTTTAAATAGTAAAATTATTATTATGGAATAGGACGTACCTATTTACACTGGAGAAAATAGAAGGGTTGGAGGGTATGCAAGTCCAGTGGGCATTACTGCATGAAGGAATTATTTTTAGCTTCTTGATCTTCAGAAAAACAGCTGCTGTTCAAAGTGCTTGTTGCCAGCTAATTTGGCAGTGGTGTGAGTTTAGTATCAGCCCCACTGCATTGCATTGGCCATATCAAGGCGGTCAAAATCCACAAAACCAGTGGAGGGGGCTGCTGGCAGCCATTGGGCCAGGGCGCTTGCCTGGAGGGCACCGGGAGAAGGACGCAACAGCTGCCAGCACCAATCCCGAAAGCAGCGCGGAACTCGCCAGGGCACCAGTGGGCAGGGGTCGCTCCCGAGGGGCACCCCACGCACAGCCCTGTCCCCTGGGTGCGTTCAAATACAGGACCGGGGAGCAGTAGAGCATTATTGAGTTTACAGATGGTAAACTCACAGATGGAAGCTTAATCTTTAGGTTTCTGGATTAAGGTTTTACTCTGATTGAAGGACAAATTCCCAGTCACCGCCA